AACGGAGGTTTTCGGAGATATTTCCCACGCTTTGAATTTTGACGTTTATCAATTCTGACGGTCACGTCAGTGAATGTATTTTTGTTGTTTTGCGAAAATGTACCCAAAAACTAACGGTCGTACAAAAAGTTCAGTATGCAACACGTTCGGTAAACTTTTTAAGTAGATACGCTCCGTTCGTGTCAAATAAACACGTGAGTCAAATGCTGTCTACCGCACTTGTTGCATAGTATACTATTTTGGTGCCAAGGTAAGGTAATTATAATTAATCCAAATACGTTGCATTTGTCTTCCACGAAATGTTCTTGAAGTCGTTCTAGCCACGCAAAAAAACTCTCTAAACTATCAATAAACAAGAGGAAAAGTCCTGGCCCTAACATAGACTCTTGTGGGACGCCCATTGTTACCATGGATGACTTACATTAGGCTAACATATTGTTTCTCATAAGATAAAAAGGACTTCGCACATTTCGCTTATTCCACTGCAAAACTTTTAAAAATCCGCAACCAGAAACTCCTACGTGTTGCACTTGTAAATTTCCTTGTCCTTGTCAGAATTAGAACCGAATAACCTTGACGGGTGTAGATGCAGGGCGAAAGATAATATTAATCGTGCCCACGTTAAAAAGAAGAAGAGGAAGACGTTTGTCCAAGAGTCGTTCTTCATAGACCATGTTGGTTGGCTCCTCACGGTCGTTTACGGGCCAACCTTTGACACACCTGAAACTTTGCTCACCCAATATCGCAATCAAGGGAGGAGCAGAGTTCCAAGCCCGTCAACGATCGCCTCCGCCTTCCTTTCGCGACCACGACGCTAATTAGACGCCGCGACGGACGTGAAGATTGCCGTAGAAAAATAACAAGCTTTCGTCGGATTAATTTGACGTGCATCTCAGCGGGTCGTGGGTCGTTTGCACCGACGGCCTCTTTTAACTGAAAATAACGATGTCATTCGGCGCTTCGCCGCACCGCAGGCAAATATATACCTACAAACTTAAGTCGTTGACTAAATTGACATTAATAACTTACAGTTTCCCATTGTAATTTTTGATTACAGGTCCAGAATTGAAAGAACTTAGAATTCAAAAATGGGGAGAGTCAACGAAGGACATTTTACGTGTACGCCGATGGAAATTCAGCAAGCTGCCGCTGAAGTTGGAGCAACATGCTTGCATATTACCAAACACATTCAAAATCCTTCATACTTCTTTACCAACGTACGTGAGCTCAACGTGAAGATTATATAAAATGTTTTGCTTCAGTTGTATTAATTAATTAATAAAGTATCATGGGTGCTTGTCACGGGGACTAATTAAAGAAATTCAAATTGCCTTGTTCATAAAATTAATTTTTCTTAAACTATCGAAGAAGAAAATGAAAATAAATAAGAACTCATTTTGTTAATCTCCATTGCTTCCAATAAATTTAATTTGCTACTTTTTGTGGCTGTATGTAAAATATCAAAATTGTCGTCAAAAATGTGTTTTTTTGTGTTTAAGTGTATAGCATAATTAGAATCCGGCATATTGTTTTTAAACGCTCTTTTATGTTTGTTAATGCGTTTCTTGAAGGATGTACCTGTTTGTCCAATATAAATTTTAAGACAAGATCCGCATTTGAACCTGTAGACACCTGATTTTTGAGATTTTGGACATTTCGTTTTATTGTTTTTTAAAAATTTTCCTATTGTGTTGTTAGATAAACGGTGTTGTCGAAACAACTGTCATGTAAAAATATATAATTTCATGAAAATCTGAACTTTTAGTTCTTATTTATTTTGATAAATGGATTTTCATCAAGTAAAAGCCACCTCAGTTCAAGAAGAAAATGCACTAAGCAGCCTATTGAAGTCAACAAATTGCATAATTTGACCGAAAAAGTTTAATTGACGTTGGGAGCGATATTACAGCACTAAAACGCAATGGAGATTACTATTTTTATTTATCAAAAATGTTAATTAGTGACATCGCTTTTCCGACATAATAATAAAAATTAAATGATATTTTTTAATTGTTAACTCACAATTAAAGTAGAAAATCTAACTAAATTTAATTGCTATAAAAACTACACATTAAGTTTTTAATTTTGTCTAGGAAATAACAGCAGAATTGCTTTTATTCACAATGGGGAGTATTACAGTTGCAGGGGATCTAATGCAATTACTCCATATTTCCAGAGTCACAGTGTTCAATGTTTCATTTCACATATTTAATATGTGATGTTCTAATACGACTGTTATAACAATATTTAGTTATACCACAAATATGTTCAATTAAAAGTGCAATTAAATGCAATAATAATTGTTCAGTCAAACGACCAGATCAGATATTTTGGTAGTGGTTTATTGCTAAAATAATAACACAGATTTAAGAAAATGGTCCATTTAACAAATTAACTTGCATTATAAAATCAGTTATTTACTTCCGGACCAACAATACTGAACAATTCTGCTCTAAAAATCATATCTTTAATAGAGGATATTTTCACTTGTTAACGATTTACGTATTTCAGTTTTTATCCAAGTAGTATTTGTGGAATTTTGTCGAACAACTTGCTGTGAACAATTGTGGACGGCCTAGCCAAAGATTTTCTTAGCTCAATTTGACACCGTTCATCTCGCCGTAATTTAGTGAACTAAAAAAAATAAAAACATCTTTAAATTTTGCATTTAAATGAGATCAGCCGATATTCAGTAATCATTTTCGAGAGTACTGTGTCTAGGTATAATTATTTGAAGTTTTCTGTCGCATGTGTTTTGTAATAATTATTTCACAGTGACAAATATAATAATTTTTTAATAATTTATCAATGTATTTATAAGGTTGTTCGGAAAGTCATTTCGTTTTTTCCCGTCAGAGGACTTAATTACGTTTTTTCGAAACCAACTTCACACTTAAGCCGCATAACCATTATATGTCTTGAGAGCTGATATTGCAAGGCTTGTGTGTGAAAAAGTTCTATTAATTCTACGCAGTAGTTTTTGGTTGGTGCCCTTTTAAATATGGAGAGCAATAAGCAGCATTTTCGTCATATTTTACTTTTTTACTTCAGAAAAGGTAAAAATGCTGTCCAAGCGAGAAAAAAATTGACGGATGTGTATGGAGAAGGCGTGTTAACAGTACGCCAGTGCCAGAACTGATTTGCAAAATTTCGATCCGGCAATTTTGATGTCGAAGACGCACCACGGTCTGGAAGGCCGGTCGAAGCTGACAGAGATGCGATAAAGGCATTAGTTGATGCAAATCGGCGAATAACCACACGAGAGATCGGTGAGAGATTAAATTTGTCGAATTCGACTGTTTATGGCCATTTGAAAGGCATGGGCTTAACCTCGAAGCTCAATGTGTGGGTGCCCCATGTCCTTACGGAGCGAAATTTGTGTCGTCGCGTTGACGTGTGTGATTCGCTACTCAAATGTCAAGAAAATGATCCATTTTTGAAGCGGATTATTACTGGGGACGAAAAATGGGTTGTATACAACAATGTTAAACGCAAGAGGTCATGGAGCAGAAAAGATGAACCGGCTCAGAGCGTGTCAAAAGCCAACATTCACCAAAAAAAGTGATGCTCTCCGTTTGGTGGGATGTCAAAGGAATCGTTTTTTTTGAGCTTTTGACGAACAATACAACGATTAATTCAGAAGTCTATTGTCATCAACTGAACAAATTGAATGATTCACTTAAAGAGAAGAGGCCCGAATTAATCAACAGGAAGGGTGTAGTGTTCCACCAGGATAATGCGAGACCTCACCCAAGTTTGGTCACTCGCCAAAAACTTTTACAGCTTGAATGGGACGTACTGTAACATCCACCATATTCTCGACTACTATTTGTTCCGGTCCCTGCAAAAATTTTTTGGATGGCAAAACCTTTACCTCAAATGAAGATGTCAAAAATCACCTGAACCAGTTTTTTGCCAGCAAGGACCAAAACTTTTATGAGAGGGGAATTATGTTACTGCCAGAAAGATGGCAAAAGGTGTTGGACCAGAATGGCCAATATATAATTTAATAAAATATTTATTCATTATACGAAAACTCTTTCATGTTCCCAAAAAAAAACGAAATGACTTTCCGAACAACCCAATAGTACTCCGCATGATGTGGCCTTAAATGATATTTATTATATATTAATTTGAGTTTTACGAACAATTAAGGCTATCAAAGGTGGCTGCCAAGACTTGAGTGTTGATTTCATACGATTGTTTTTCTAATTGCAAAGCTATAATTTTTACATACATATTTTTATGCGTAACATTTGTTGAGTGAATGGGCCATAAAGCAATCCTAGATTACACTCTTAAAAATATTGATTGAAACATGTCTCAGCAAAATATCGCTCATTAGATTCAAGTTAGTGAAAGTTCGCGATATATACAGGGATTCAGAGGTTTTTATATACATTGCATTATATATTACAATTACATTATATTTTTTTACACAATACATAGAGGGCGCCAGTTACACCCTAAGATCTAGTTATTTTATTACATAACATTTTTGTTAATTCTGTTTTTTTTTTTGGAAAATTACGATAGAGAGATGATTTCTAAGTAAAACACATTACTTTTACATTTATTTCACCTTCCCTAAATGTTACCCCAAAATGCAGCTTTATTTCATTGTTTTTCTTTTATATCTGCGAAAGAGGCAGAGCTTGTTTTTGATATTTCTCAACAGTTGAAGTGTGCAACCTTGCTTCGGCCGATGGTATATTTCCAAATACGTAAATCCAGTTTCAATCACACTATTAGTTAAGCCATTAGAACACAATGTGTTTCTAATAAGAGCATATTAATTTTTTTTCATTTTTACTACATACACGTTATAATTATTTTTTTTGAGAAAAATTTATTACATTCGTTATTAACCTGCAAATCTGAATAAAACTGAATCATTTACAATTACAATCATAATGTTTTGTATTTAATTTGTCTTGTAAGTACGATAAAAACGGATCACCGTAGGGTGATGATCTCGAGTCAATTTACAAAGGGTCAAAGGTTCAAAGTAAAGTAAAGTGCAGAAATACTTCCCAACGGTCACGTGTGCTTACCGTCCGCAGCGCCACTGTCAGGCACTTACTCCACCGTTGGCGCTTCAAACCCACTCGTCGCGACGTCGGTGAGCTTTTTTCTCAGACGAGTCCGTCATCGCGGGCACCTGAAAAAACAAACGAAAACCCAATTAAAATCGCTTTCAGATAGACGCACGCGAAAAGCCGATGGGCTGAGAGTCGTTTAAAAAAGTTTATAATTATTTTTAAACCGCTTACGAGCTTCTATAACGCGGTGATGATAACGAACTTTAAAAAACAATAATAAAAAAACATTTTTACGTTAATTTAATGGGGCGGCGAATAGAATCCGCCGACCAATCTAAACGTGGCGAAGGGCGGGGTTGTTTGGTATCGATAGTTCAATTGGATGAAATAGAATTCCAAAGAGGGCGCAGCAGTCGTACAACAAGTGGGGCAACAGGTGACGGGGGGCGGGGCTTATTTTCAACCGTTCAACCGAAGTAACTGAGCGTAAAGTGGGCGTAAAGCCACGCCCTAACGCCCGAAATAGCCATTTACTATTTACTATTTACTTACTACTACATTTCATTACTTTTAGTTCGTTTTTAGTTTTTTATTAACTTCACAGAAATATAAAAAAAAATTAAATTAAATAAAAAGATATTACATTGTAATATACAATAGGAACTAATGTTACCGACAAATATACTTTAAACTAAACTTTAAAAAAAGCAAACAGATATATACTTAAAGTAAAAAACATTACGTAGAGCTTTAATAAGATTAAGCTCCACAAACTTGGAAAATTGAAAAATTAGGACAAGGAACTGCTTGACTTTTAATTTAGTGTTATTATTGCATTCCGAAATCCCTGTGGACAACTGCTCTGAATACCTCAATGCTACTGCAACCAAACCAGTCTCTCAATTTCTCAACCAGGTTGCTACATGTTAACCCAGGAGTGGGTTGAATATGAGATTCTTAATCCTTGGGATCAAAAACTTTTAATCAAGTTGATAATGGAAACACTGTAGAAGCCAGTCTTGAAGAGATAGTATTTTTTTATTGTAGTTATCACAGATAAGTAAACTAAATCAGGTAGTTCATCTTTTAAATAATTATTTAATCCAAACATGCATCGACACAAACTTGCAAGCTGTCTTTCAAAGGATTTAATAAACAGATAGTATCAATTCGTTAATGTAGTTTAATTAGGAGATCAAAAAAACAAAATTTCACAATCTTATTCTTTGGTCCAAACCTGTTCTCGTTGAAATGTTATCATTAAAATTGACTGGCTGGCTCCTACATGTATCTACATGAGAAACATAACTCTAATAGCAACTTCAACATGTACTCGCCAGCAACCAGAAAGTGTCGAAATCGTGAAAAGTAGAATAGGACGAAAAAAAAAAACAAGATATCGTTTGCGATTTTGCTGGTTATATTAAGTAAAATCCGACTAAAACGTCGATTGCCAAAAATAATCATCTCAACAGGTCGCTGCGGATTTCTACTGCCCAAAATATATTCGAAGTGTCCGGATGGACAAATTCCACATAGGAAAATTTAGGATTTTGAACAATCAAAAAGAGAATATCTGCGAGAGGTTAGATTCAATATTGGAAAGTATCAGACCATGGAATATTAAGAGTTTGATAAAATATCAATCGATACTAATCCACTAGTTAAACCATGGTTACACCAAAAACTGACCTAACCCCTTTGTTTTACTTTGTCTGTTGATATCTAACCATTGCAAATAACCAAAACTAACCATTACAAATACCAACTATGCAAATCTAGTGAGACGTTAAAGAACATGACGATCTTTTCGAAAGATGAATTGAATTATTATTATGAAAATCGATCGTTTTACAAAAATACACTCGACTCCACATAAGATATGACTAGATTTTTATTTTGTTTAGAAATTACGAATATAGTTTACCCGTTACCTGTTTGAAACCGATCGATTGCAGTTTGCAGAACATTTTCGTGGATAAGCAAGTAAGAAAGGCCATTCCTAGGCATTCAAGCATGCTTTTTTTGATTATTATACGAATAGGCGGCGTGTATCGCATCCTTCTGTGAGCCTCAACATTTGAGACCGCTTACTGTAACCGATATAATAATCATAACATGACTAGGAGGTCAGACTAATCATACTTAACCTGTGAGGTATTTATAGCATAATTAAAATCAATAATTTTTAAATAAAAAAAATATTCAAAAAATACTTTTATTTACCAGACAACGCCTAATAGCAAAAAGCAAACTCCAAAATATTTTTTAAATGTGGGAGACTAGTAGAACGGCGCTAGTTTTATCCCGGAAACTGTCAACAGAGTTTTTTCAGATCGTCAGTGACTGAATTATAAGTGAAACTTCTCCATGGTCGAACGAAAACGAAAAAGAGATAACTTATTTACAAATCTTAAATTTGCAGAGCGTTGCCTGCACCTGAAAATAAGTTTTCACTTAAATACCTAGATGAATTGGTAGATAATAATTTATATACAAAAATTAGCAAATGATGTTGATAAATATTATTGATCCTCAACAAGGTTAAATTCATTTATTTTTGCTGATCTGATACTCTATCATATTTACAGAGTAAATTAATATACATCCAACATGAATTTTAAAGTTTTTGAAGTATATTGTCTGGGAATTTATATTTATATATTATAATAGTTAATAACAGACGCACAGTTTCCTTCTCATTTTATCGTTAAATAGATTTATATTTTTATACAATGGTCTAAGAGCTAAATATGACCTTCTTAATAAGGAAGAAACATGAAATTTGAGCAAATCATCGTCAAATATTAATCCTGATTTTATTACCTTGTTTACAACTCTTCTTTCGTCGCATATTCTGATATTTTATCTTCGTTTATAAATCTGCACGCCACATTTACCTCAGTTGAAATAAACGACTTATCGACTGTATAAACTAAAAATAGCAAGGCAACAGGACCGAACCTTGTGGCACCCCGGACGTGGTTTCACACGTATTTGAGACGGTATCATTTAGTATAACTCTTTGAACGTGTATCAAAATCAAAAAACCTTTTGTAATTTGTATTTGCTCCATACCCTACAAAAGGTTGAAAAACACATAGGACCCAAGCATTGTCAGACCCAATATACAACTCAAATCTCTGTTAGTCAAAAACTTTTTAAGTCTATCAATTCGTGTTTTTCTTTCCTCGGTCTGATCAGTGTGTGCCATTATCCACTTCCCAAAAAGCATTACTCGATCCGAGCAAGATACAAAATTGTTGACTGCCATATCACTCTCTTTGTCGACAAGCATGCCTTGATGATGGGACCGTGTATTATTTCTCTGGTTATACACTTTCTTGAGCTTGGCGATTGGACATCACTAAGTACTAAGATTGTAAGGTTCATTCGGCCATTTCTGATATCGCATAGTCCAACAATTCTAGTCTTCATGGATTCTGCTTGAATGTTAGTTTTAAAAATGCAGCCACTGTTGTGGATCTCCTTAGCTTCACCTCCAAGGCTTCGAGACCTTACCCGCATTGTTCGGTACAATTGACACAACTCGGTGTAGTTATGGATTAATCTCAGTTTTGAACAATGAAGGAAGGAAAATGAATTCCTAGGTTTATGGATGTAACTGAAGGAAATGTTGACAACCGCAAATGTTGATGCGTTACCAGTGTAATTAGAGATTTTTGTATAGAGGAAAAATAGAGAAAAGGAAAATCCGGAAGAGAGTTTTACTTGGAATTGTTTTGAAGGCACAATGCAAAGATGACCTTTGAATTAATCGATTTCTGCAGAAGATCCAATTAAAATTGCTTGCAAGACATTAGAATTCTGTAAACTCATGCAGACGTTCATACCTGGGATTTCCGTGGAATTTTCATTAGCAGGCGGTGCAGGCTAGTGAAAATTAGTGAGACGTCATCTTTTAGATGCACATCCCGGGGTGACCACTATTCGATTTTTTTTTTTAATTGTAATGGTCATTTGCAATCAAGAAAGTGTTTGAAAGGTTGATGTCTTTCTGAAAACATCTTGGTGCCTCATAAACATCAATAAGAAATTATTATAGATTAAGTTGATTTGCTGTTTGGGGTGTTTGTCAAGATAATAAGATTTGTGGTAAAGCATTTTACACATCGTTAGTACGTCAATTGAAATTCAGCAGCCGACGTCATATGCGGCCGTCCCCTATGACAAGGTCAGCGATATGTCAAAATCAATGTTGGGTACCATAAACCATACCGCGCGCCTATGGTTTTAATCTCGTTTCATCGGTCGCTGGGGAGACGGGGCGAGGTGTAAAGTTGGGGAAAATATTTATAATTACTTTTCGGGCTTGTTTTAAAACAATTTTTGGAGTTCGGCCCCGAAGAACTTGTTACAAAGTTGGAATGACGCGGGTGGCGGCGTCGCGACGCTTTTTCCAGAATTAAATTCCAGGATCGGGGGGCTTAAAGTCACGTCGGGGGCTAAACCGTTATTACCTCCCGCTTATTTAATATTTAACCCGCGCCTGCTCTCGGGAACTTTAGTTTTAAAATATCTAGGCACGAGTTTGTTAAAATAATTTACTTACACACCGGGTGTTACAAAAAAATAAGACCATCGTCGAGTTTTGCCAACATCTTCCGACAAGTAACTGAAATTTAAACACCAAGGCATAGGTAGGCCAGCTACTTGTCAAGCTACCTGCCACTCTTGGGACTCTTGACAATCATCATCAATCATGATTTATAACTCACTGGCATTACGGAACAGCAATGCAACAAGATGATCTTGTTGCATTGTATATTAATGACAAGATGATCTTGTTGCATTGTACATTAATGACCACCCTTGGATGATCCGTTCAAAAGCAATTGGTCACTTTCTTATATCTATGAACAGATCATACCTGTACTCTATTAATTTTAAAGGTAAGTTTGAAAATAATCAGTTTGAGCCTGTCGATTAACAACATTTTTTGAAGGTTCCTGTTTTTTAACACTTTAAAATGTGGAGACCGTGGAATGAAGCAGATGTTCCCCTCTTAGAAGAAGACATGGAAAACAACGCAGAATTGAAGAGGAAGTGGAGATGGTAGTCAAACCTAATGACAATTTAGAAGACGAACTACCCCATC